ATTCTCTCTGGAAATTCTGTCTTCTTAGGATACTAACAACATCATAAGGAAGTAGTAATATTAAAAGTCTACCGTGCAACCAAATGGCTGGCACCAGCCCCAGCCAGTTAGGTACACGCCTTGAGGTGCGTCTCCTTATCCCTCAGAGTTTAGCTTCCCACTTCAAGAAGCAAGTAACACTCACATATATTGGTTTCACTATGAACACAGCTTATCAAATATTTCTAGAAACTATGACGAGAGGATAGACTCATGTTGAGAGTTAAAAATATTTTTTTTTCTTTTTGCCTTTTAAGAACAAGGAGTTTTTTTTTTTTTTTTTTTTAAATGGAAATAACAGAGACTTTGGTGACCAGTTCTTAAGCTTCCCTTTACCTCTCGATGAATTTTTTAAAGTTTTTTTTTTTTAATGTATACAACAACTGGGGTGTAGGCCAGAGGTACAGGGAGGCCAGAGGTTGCAGGGGATGGTGGGGTGGGGTGAGAGGATTCACAGAGACAGAGTGGGAAGCATAACAGGTGGATCAATTAAGATACACTGCTGAGGGGAGCAGCGGGCGAGACAGGAGAGTTCTACTGCACCATGTGAGTTAGCTCCCTGGCTAGAGATTGAACTTATGCTCCAGTGGCTTCTGATAGCTTGATAGTGCTGAGACTTAACCCCTTGCACCACCAGGGAAGCCTCTTGATGAATTTTTAATGTGTAAAGATTACTTAATCTTCCTGAGTCACATTTGTTCAGATAATTAAAGCCAGTAGCAACACAACATTAACCCTGTTGTCTATATATATATATATATATATATATTTGCTTGCTTAGTATGTGCTATATCATTCTGGTTGCTTTACATTCATTATACCATTTAACACTCACAAGAGCCTTGTGTAGTGTGTACTGTCACCCATTTTACAGGTAAGAATCTGAGGACCATAGAGGTTCCCTCAATAATTAATGGTGAGCTTGCCACCAGACCCACGCCCATTGAGCCAATACACTTGACCTCCCCACCATACTACAATTCTGTGAAATAAGCATGATCTATTGATGATGCCCATCCTATGCAGTCATTATGACAATTAAAAATCCTGACACAAAACCTGTTTCATGGGAGACCAGAAACAATTGATCATCATTGCTACTTTTTAAACTTCCATAAATAAAATGTTTATGAAGACAGATAAAAAATGAGAAAATCAAGAAGAGGTAGGGTGCACGCTCCCTTCATTTTTTTTTGTTGGCTTTTGTTTTGCTTGGTTTTCTTCTTTTTAATGGGTGGAGGCTCTATTTAGAAGAACATATGATAGTTGTTTCTTTGATGACTGGAAAGGTAATTGGGACCATTGGATGGAACAGCTGATGTAGTAATACTTCTCAAATTACAACAAAGCCTAAATCTGTGAAAGTAAAACCGTTTTTGCTTTACCAATTCAGGGTTGGTGTCATCTAAAGAGCTTTGTTAAACTTCAAATTCCTGTCCATAGGATTTTGTTCGGGGTGGTAAGATAAAGGATGACAGTGCTAACTTTGAATATTGACTACTTTCCTAGTAGTTTCCCGTGAAACATTCATTCAGCAAATGGTTCACTAAAAGAGCTGTAGCAGATGAGCTTTTCCATGTTTTCTCTGTTCCCAACTTTGCCACAAAAAGTCCACCCTTCTTTAGTTACTCTTGTGGGAGGAATTGGAACAGCCCAAGGTCACCTTGATCTAAGCCCACCTTATCAGAGAGAAACTAAGTGTCAAGTTTGTGTCCCTTTAGACTTTTTTTGTCTCCTTTGTTGGGGTCTCTTTAATACATTGAACTAGATTTGTGGATTTTAAAAAATGTTTTCAATGGATTGATTTTCTGGCATTAGACATTAAAATGATTCTAGGTATTCAGTAGTATCTGGGATGTTTGTTATTGCTCTGTTAAATAAAAAGCTACTCTCTTTAACAAATGTGTAAGTCATCTTTATATATACCTAGAATGGCTGTAATTAAGACTAAATGTAGGTGAGCTTTTCTTAATGAATATAGTATCATTATTACATGTTTTGTTGAAACTCTTATTTTGAAATCTTTTGATCGGGAAATTGTCAAAATAGTTGACTGAAGTAAGTGAAAATAATGAAACAGCTTATTGGTCATCCAGGTTACTAAAGATAGCAATATTAAGCAGAAACTGAAGTATGAACATGTGATCAATGTGTTTTAATAAATGTCATTTATTAAAACCATTCTAAGATACATTACCATCAAATAGTGAAAAATAAAAAGCAATGATAGCTCTATATATTAAGCAGTTGCTTTGACCATTCCATTATTGAGTTTTCTTATAATTAAATTGGAGGTTCAAACTAAATATATTTTTTAGCTCCATCTACTTTAAAAAAGTATAGTTCTATGAGATGTGTATTTATATAAAGAGCTTGTCTTAAAAAATAATTTTTAAAGTGAGCAAGATAAAGTATAGAATTGGGAAGAAATAGTATTATACCTGGTCTATAAATTATAATATATAGACTTTTTAGTGCATAGAAAATGCCTTTAAAAAGCAATATGCAAGAGTTTGTTTCCTGTTAACAAAGACTAAATGCTAAAGAGTCATTATTTGCCCGCAACACCAAAATGTAGAAATTGTATAGTTTAATATATCATAAAGGCTTTCTAATTCCATAGGTATTCTTTTTCATATTGGCAGTATTTATGATCTGGGTTAAGTGACCTTACCTTTAGATCTTTGAGCTTGATTATTGTTCATAATCAAAGTAACCTCCTTATATAGATCCAAAACTACCAAAGATTTGTTTTTCTTTCCGTGGAAATAGCAAATAATTCTACCCTAATAGGAAAGAAAGTGAAACTTGTTACATGCTATCAAATGCTGCTGACATAATAATATATATTTTTAAGGAGAATAAATTGAGAACCTGTCTCAATTGTTTTAAAATTAAGATTATGTAATTATATGGGTCTGAGATTATTTTCAGTTATATAGTAAATATATTGATTTCTGAAATTTGGACATAACACATAGTTCACTTGGCTTGTTTTACACTGCTTGGCCAAAGAACTATCAGGCAAATAATCTGTGACATATTATAATTGTATTGTGCTCATTCTGTCATTAGAATAAGATGATCTAAATTCAATTTTCCCTTTTCCTAGAAGGAAATATTTTCTTTCATCTTTTTTTGCATACTATGTTAAGACCTTATATAAATACATCTAGTACTAATTTTCCAAAATGTTAGTTCTATAGTTCTCACGAAAACCCTGGGTTTTGCTGTCAGAACTTAGGGCATAGACTAGTTATGGAATTCTTGGCCTAAGTTTTTTATTTTTTGTTTGTTTGGGTTTTTTTGCCCCTAAAAGATTCTTGAAAAACATTTTTTTTTCCCTTATTGTAAGTTCTGTGGAAATAGGAATATGTTAGCTATTTGTACATTTAAAATATGAAAGAATTAAAAAACAAGATGAAATATATAATCTGTGACATACAGAGCGTCTATCCCTCTGTGACTTAGGAAAAAATGCTTGTTTGCTAAAGTGTAAGTGGGTTTTTCTGGTTTATTTTTATTTTGTTTCATCTCCAGGACCTCCCAATTTCCAAGGGCACCATGGGACATAGGTAGCATTTATTTGATGTATATGAGTGTGCGTGTATTCCCCACACCCATCCCTGTGGACCTAGCCTTTGTGAAATCCTAAACCTTGTATTACTGCTTAGTTTGTGATTCATGGTGTTCTGAGAGCAATTATTTAATTTTTCTTAGGGTGTTTATTCAATGTGTGCATTAAAAAAAAAGTTGAGGTTATTTTTTGGTAACGCTACAGTGGCCTTTTTTATTGGTGGATTTCCCTTTCTTGTCCTGTGACCTGCAAATATCACTGTAGGCGCTCTGCCAATTTTGTGAGCCGATGCCTGCTTCAAAATGGAGGCAGGAAGGTATCCATTTTCATCAAGAGTATGACAGTGTTTCAGTCTCTCCGACCATCTGGAGAGAGGAACTTTTGGAGCAAAAGAAAATGGGGATTTAAAAAATTATATTTAGCAAAAAAGGCGAGGGGGGAAACCAATTAAAGTTAAACTATACCTTATGAATTTATGCTTTTCTAGTATGCTGTCTTCTTCAAAGGAAACACAAACAAGAAAATACACAGGCTATTTTTATAAAGAACTGGTTCCCCAAGTCTCATGAGTATTAGTAAACGAATGTAAGTAAATTAGGATTTTGGCACACTTCTTAAGTTTATTGCACACACAAATGTAATAAGAACTATAAAGGAAGATTTTTCTCCCCCCTCTTCCTGTGTATGCCCTGATTGTTGGTGGTCTGTGTAGATTCGAGCTTTTAATGGGCTTTTTCATGCATCTCTGCAAAAAAGCTGACACTATGGGAATTTAATATTCCAAGATATATTTATCACTTTCTGTGGTCTGGATAGTACATTTATGTGCTCTCTCTCTCTCTCTCTCTCTCTCTCTCTCTCTCTCTCTCTCTCTCTCTCGCTGTAGCTCTCACCTTTGCTCAGTCTCTCTCTCTCTCTCTCTCTCTCTCTCTCTCTCTCTCAATTTTTCTCTCTTTCTCTTGCACGGAAAATTTTAATTCCACTGTGGAGCACTAGAGAAATGCTTGATACAGGTCTTTCTGTTTTCACCCTTCGTGTGCTCAGGGACCATCAGTGTTTTTGTTCCTTTTAAAGAATGCTTAGACTCCCAGGTCAGCCCTCTGGGTATGACATAGCATATTTACAACTAGATACAGTTTTCTGTATTCTTGCCTGTGGCTGGGAAATATCATACTTGCTTTTCCATTCACAAGAATATACGGAGCATTTCTTGTTGGTTTTTATTTCTCTGTGTTCTGAAAGGGCAGTGTTTCTAAGGCTTGATGAGTTTTAGAATGGACTTGATAGAAATTTAGCATTTTATACCTACTCCTTACAAGGTAATGGAGCTTGGCATGCTTTGGTCAATGTAACAAACAAAACTAAATTGAGTCTCCTTCCTCAGGTTTATGCTCCATCAGCAAGCACTGCCGACTACAATAGGGACTCGCCAGGCTACCCTTCCTCCAAACCAGCAGCCAGCACTTTCCCTAGCTCCTTCTTCATGCAAGGTAAGATGCTGTCTCTTTCTAATAGGAGATCTTTTGGGAAAGTCTTCTTGGGACTCTTTATGTCATATGTGGGCAAAAGAACCCTAAACTGATGATAATGCAAGAAATGGAACGCTAGGAAGCATAAATTATTATTGCAGGTCATGGTCTTCGTAGGAATCAAGTTCATTAAAAATAAACAAACTAATTAAAACTTTATTAAGACTTTTTTTTTTAAATTAAAGCCCCTTCAGCAAAACCGAGTTAAGATTAGAATGTGTGCTTTGCTAAGAACTGATGCTCCCTGGGGCATGGTCTTCCGTGACTGATAGTTTCAGTGTCTTCACCATCCCCAAGAACTTATGTGTATGTCTGGAAGTGTTTGCAATCATTGTGTATTTGAACATCCCGGATATAGCTAACTGGGAACAAATTGCCCTTATGTGTAGCTTTATAGACAATTTTCAGCCACTTAATAATTTATAGGTATGAACAACAGTTCCATAAGATGAAGTAGCCTGTCCTAAGGACTAGAATATCATTTTCTTACACAGCAAAGCTCTATCCCAACACACTAACTGATTGAAAGTAAAAATCCCAGCATTTTTCCTGGGCAAATGTAGAAAATTACAGCTTCATGGTAGACAAAGTATATTTTTTCAGTTATCCAGTGTATTTAATTAAATGCACATGGGTGTGTACCCCCAGAGCTTATAGCCTTGCCACTGATAATACAACCCCTTTCTGCTGCTTGAAAAAGACAAGGATGGATGAAGTGACAGCAACAGCTTGTAAGACTAGACCGTCCAGAGGACGCAGCTAAGGCTCCATTCCTGATAAGTGTATGACACTTATTGTCAAAATGTGTTACCAAGTTAATACGCTGAAATTTAAATGTGAAGTTTGCCAAGAACTCCTGTATCCAGACCTTTTGCTCTTTTTGCCCGGGTGTAAAAGCCTTGCTTGAGTGTGCCTTGGCCAAGGGCCACAGGATTTCCTACTTCATGCGACTCTAGAGAGGGCCATGCCACCAGCACGAGGACAGCAAGCACCCACAGAGCAGCCTGGTGTCTCGCTGAGATTACAGTGGACACACTCAAAATGATTTTGATTAAAAGGGATTTACTTTCTTTCGCTTCAGAGTGTTAGCTCTTTTAGGTTGTTAGTTCACTTGTGAAATTCCATGGAAAAAATCTATAAAATTGAATTGAATGGGTCCCTCAGGAATAGAGAGAATTTGTTGCACAAATAATGGAGTTCATGTTCACAGGGATCCTTCATCTCTGTGACCTGTCCTAGGTGTAATTCACAAAGGGACATAGCAGGGTATGTCACTTGGGTGGATTCTGTGCCATGACAAAAGGCGTATCCCCTCTGGCTATAAACAGCAGCCATGTGGACATCAGTGCCCCTCTGTGTGAGCAGTTAGAGACACTGCTTACAGAGCTTGTAGAGATTGTCAAATCAAGGATGTATCCTTCAAAGCAGATAATCATTGAAAAGAAAAAGATACAGAAGGATAGATTTCTTTTATCTGCCTTTAGGAAGGAGGTTTGCACACATTGTGCAATGTCAGGGAGATCAGGTAGATTCAACAACAGGCTCTGCTCCTTAGCAGAGCCTGCAAGATATGGGGAGTGAATGGGCTTTTCTGCATATGAATACCCAAAAATAAAAAAAAAAATATTTTTGCGTTGACATTTATGATGAGCACAATTAATTTGCACACATCTAATTCTATTCTTTCAAAACAACATTATGCCAAGATCATGGGATGTGATAAATATTAATTTACTCTGAAAGGCATAATTTATGTAAACTATGTATTTTTATAAGTCTGCATTGAGCAGAGTGTTCTGTGTTAAATCCTAAATGTATTTCCATATAGTACATCTTGTTGTCAAAATGTTTCAGAAGACTCTTGTTCAAAAATGTATGTTCTCAATTTATTTGTCATATGTGTCATCTATTTGAAATGCTAGTGGTCTTGAACTACATATTTGAATTTAAGGTGGCATCTAAATTTCCACAATGGCAGGGCTAAATCTAATGTACGTGAATAATAACTTTTAGAAGTTCTGTGTTGCCACATTCAAATCCCAGGAAGAGTACATGTGATTTCACTTCACATTGGCTTCCATAGGGGGTGTAGACAGTGCACCCAGGATTCAGGTCGTGGAGACATGTCTGGAGGTGAAAGATACTTGGAGACTTTCAGGGTACCCATTAAACTCATCACTGTGTGGCCTCTTATTTTTAACCTTAATTTCCATGTTCTACTGAAAACTCTTAAGTTGTCAAACTCAAAGACATGATTTTTGTTTGCATAGTTCTCAAGAAATCTATGGATTATTCCTCCCTAGCCTGAAACATTTTAGTTTTCTAAATTTTAATTTCTGGATTTAAAAACTCAGAGAGGTGTGGAATGATAACACAAGTTGATGAGGTGTGAACCTTTACCCCTCAAACATACAGAGCTGTAAACCAAAGTTACCTCAATAAAAATAATTTAGTTATAAATCTCATGGGAGAGGTGGAAACCTGTAAAATACAGTGTCAGACTTAACTTGCCCATTGTCTAAATTTTCAAAAGGTCTTTATTAAATAAAATGTGTGGTAAAAAATCTTATTTTCAAGGAAGCAGTACCTGTCATACAGTTAACACCTAGCTGAGGACACAGCATATATCAGGATTCAGTAATATTTGTTAAATTATTAAAATAAGGCAGAAAAGTGAATGAATTCACTTTTCATTATCCTTCCCCTCACCAGTTCTTAATTTAAGAAACCCAAACCAAACAATAATCTCTAGTGGCAACTTCTAGGCCAGTAGGCCTGGAGAATAAAGATTATCTATAGGAATGTTTCTGATATGGTGTTCATAAAAGATTAACTTGATGTTAAAAAATAATTTGTATAATTCCTAAATGATTTTAAACCTCTTTTTTAACCCATAAAAGATTCAAAATTTACCATAGTAGAATAGCTACCCTATGATCTGTGTTTACTCTTTGAATGAATGGCTACTGATGACTTAGGATAACTATATAACCACATACAATAATATTAAAATTAAAAACAAAATCAAAAACTAAAGACTATATATATATATATATATATATATATATGAGGCTTCTCTTTCCTATATATCATAGTATAATAAATCCCAAGTATGTTATAAAAATGAAATCCAATCTTTTAAATCTGACATGTTCTTTTTTTCATTACTTCTTTACATACTTTTAAACACTTGTAAACTTGCCAACTCTGTAATGTCTCAAGCATTTTATTTTTGCCCCACAATTTAGGAATACTTTAACATTTTAGCCCATTCCGTAGCAAAAGAGGTCAGAGGACTGCTAAGAAATGTTTCCTGTAACATTATTTACCTTGCTTGACTTGACATTGTTCTATGTGGAAATGTGTTCTGTTGTTCTTTTACAATTGAGTTTTTACTCAGAACATTTTAACTATGTCAAATATTTGTATTTGTTTAGCAATATAGAGCTGCTTGGGGAAAAAAATAATGATGACTACCTTCTGATGTAATCAGTTAACCAACACAAAGATGAATGCACAGCAGGCAGTCATTTCAAGTCTATGAAAAAACCCTATTCTATAAGGCAAGACTGAATGCCTCAGAAGAGTCATGGTTTTCTTTGTCCGTTACAGATGGCCATCACAGCAGTGACCCTTGGAGCTCCTCCAGTGGGATGAATCAGCCTGGCTACGGAGGAATGTTGGGCAATTCTTCTCATATTCCACAGTCTAGCAGCTACTGTAGCCTGCATCCACACGAACGTTTGGTAAGGCAACTCGACTTGGTAGTGGGGCTAACACAGCTAGTGCACGTTCTTCTCACTCATGTCCACAAGAACTCTGCCAGTGAATGTAAAAGTGAAACACCGGCGTTGTATTTACCGGGGCATTTTTTTCTGTCATCAAAGGCATAACTAAATCAGATCACCTTTGTTAAGTCCTTCCAGATTCTCTTTGTCATTGTTCCTGTGTTGATTGTGCTTTGTTCTGTACTTTCTTCATCACAGTGTCGGCTTCCTCTGGTGCATAAACATGCACTGTATTTGAGTTGCAGAATTTCAGCTATGGCAGTTCCTTTGTGGGGTTTTGTTTTTGTTTTTGCCTTCTGTAGTTTTGAAGGATTACTGCAGGGGGCAGAGTGACAGGTAGTGGGTGTTGAGAGGAGGGGCTCTGCATCATCCTTGGGTATTTTCATCATGGGGAATAGTTGACAGGCTTCTGTGCCACACCCAGAGGAAAAAGTTCACATTTTTCTATACATTCCTTTCAGTAACAGCAGCCATGGGTTTCTATATAGATCAGATTCCCCATTTTCAGTATTTTAGCTTTAATTCCACACCCGCCCTGAGTAGCCCACTGATACTCTTTTTCTCATTCCAGTTAAAAACCGCTGGGCTGTTACTCATTCTTTTATTATTAGAGTTTCCACTGTGCCCATCACTTGCATTTATCCATCCTAGTATGTCTCTTTGTCCTGGAAGACAAAACTCACCTGACGTTTTCCTAGCCTTCAACACCAGCAGAGCCCAGAATCCACTTTCGAATTTAAGTCTAAAATTAAATGAAGGAAAGAATTCTTTAGATCATGAGTTAAGCTGGGGATGCTTAACTCAAATATGATGGAGCTAAAAGTTCCCTGTGTAATAATAATAGTGCTTAAAAAAACTGTGTGAACCTCAATGATCTTTAATAGTACTGACACCATTGCCGTTCATCTTGCAATTTACCTCTTTACGTTTTCCCGACACCCACGTTATTACTTTCTCTGTTCTGATATAGGAAATAGCACTTTCTGGATTTCTGTGGTCTTTTTCTCTTTTGCTCAACTACTAGAGATATAGAAACAGTAACTGATATCCTGTTCAGACAACCTGAAACATTCCTGAAGTTGAAGTTTCTGATATCCTTGAAAATATCTATTTACTTAGTCTAAGTGACAGAGACATTGTGTGGTCAATTGCCTGTCTGTTAATGAGAGACAAATGATAGGGATGGCGTGGTTTTTTTCATATCATCTTCCAAGTTGGAATGTGTAAATCCCAAACTCAAATCTCAGCACATTTCAGTAATAGCAGATTTACTTTCATATTTCCTCTTTTCTCACCTCCTACTTGGAGGTAAAGCTTAGAATGAAAGCTTGAAGAAATATCAATACTATTATTATACTAGCATTATACTAGCATTTTTTATTTCTCCATCATCATTTTCTGCTTCTATAAGGGACCCATGATCAAAGTTACTTGTGTCCTATGAACAAAGAAAGTGTTGATTGCATAGGGGAGGTATCTTTAAAATATACTCAAAAGTACACAAAGTATAATGTTGAAAAGGAAACTAGCTACATTCCTTTGCAGAAAAGTTTTGCTAAACCAAAACAATATTCTCAACCACATCATGTTGAAGGAGTAACCCTACAAGGTGCATCAGATGACTTATAATGTCATTTATCCTTCACAAAACACAGAGTTTTCATTCTTAATGTGAGTTGTTAACAGATCTTAGAGATTAAGGTTTTGTTTTTTTTTAAAGGTAAACAAAGTTGATCTCTGGTAATAAATCCTAATAAATTTACACGCAGATAATTTTATCTGAACTATTATATGTAATAATCATGGTATTTTAATTGTTTAACCTTTGGAAAATTTCTCCCTGAAGTGACTTTTAAAAATCTGATGTTGGAAACAACCTATGTGTCCACCAGTGGGAAGATTGGATTGAGAAATTGTGACATATCCCCCCTGCAGAATACTATTCGGCCATAAGCAAAGACAAAATGTTGCCATTTACAATAAAGCAGAAGGAATTGGAAGACAGTATGTATAGTAAAAGCAAGTTGAATGAGAAAGATAAATATCGAACATTTACTGTGGACATTTGAGCAAAGCAAAATACTTATAAAAATTATCACATACTTATAGAGAAACAAAACTTCTGACGTTAAGAGGGAGGGAGGTGGGAGAAAAGATCCGAAGGGCTGTTAGGGATGGTGTTGTATGGATGGGCCAGGAGAAGTAAAAATTATTTTAAATAAAGGAGTAAAAATATGACACTGATTGAGGCTAATCTGAATATATAGTAGGCAGTGTTCTTTCACTTGAATATAAATGGTAGTTGCTTATAATTTTATCCATAGCATTTGGCCAAACCCATACTGAACAAAGGGATACTTTGAGCAAAAGGAGAGTGCCTTCCTTGTATTATTTTGGGTATAATTTAGCCAAATTAGCATTGTCTCTAGAGATTTTTATTTTAGAAACATTATTGCCTTCACTTTATACCATGTTAAAATAGAATGCGTAGTTATAAAGCTTCAAATCTACACATTTCAGTAGCAACTGTCAAGTCACCAGTTTTGATTTTTTAAATCCCCTTTATAGTTTCAACCTCTACCGCACAATCCCACAGCTAATTACCTCTATGTCACAGATCACAGAGAGAATCACTCATAAGAATGGAGTTTGTGGTTAAGCTTTGGAATGGGTCGTGATAGAAGATTTAAGTTTGGAGTGATTTGCCAAAGTTCTTTTTAAAAAGCAGATCACATCCTCGCTGTCTGACGTGGTTGAGACATGGGCTTTGCAACACAGAGTGAAATAGTTATGGGAGTCTGGAATTTTAATATAAGGAAGTTTTTTTGTCTTTAATTTTTTGTAACATCAGCCCTTATCCCAGTGATTCTCAACCAGGGGTGAGTTTGACCCTCTGGAAATATTTGATGATATCTGGAAACAGTTTTGGATATCACAACTAGGGATCTAACACATACAGACCATGGCTGCTGGAAAACACTACGATGCACAGCAGAGCCCAGAGCAAAGATTATCTGACACAAAAAGTCAGTAGCACCAAAGTTGTGAAACCCTGCCTTAGCTCAAAGCATGGTTTTATTCTTAGTATGTGCTACCAATTACCATGGTTTCTAATCTTTAAAGTGCCAACCCATAGGTTGATTAAAACCTTACCAGTGGAAATATTTTTAACACTTACTCTGTCAATAGACTCCTAATGCACTATCATTGGGTATCATAAGTAAAAATACATAAACCAATGGTGGGGACTTTATCATACTTCCCCTTTCTCTTTGTAGCAAGCAGGGTAGACAGTATTAATAGCTGGAGTAAGAGAGACTTGGGGGACCACTTTTAGTTAATCTGTAAATACTCTAAAATATACATTCACATATCACTGTATTTATTACATTTCTGGATGACGGTAATTTTCAAGATACTTTTCCTTATAGAATCATATAGTTATAAATTTCATTCACTTTCTTTCAGCATCTTATTTTCTCTGAGTTTAAAAATAACTGACTTATGTGAGCTGCATCCATTACCCCATTAAAATCTTTAGGATAATTGTCTAAATTCAGTATTAATCCTTTGTCAAATCCTGAATGATTGCCCATTGTACACAAAGTTAAAGGAATTTAAAAATTCTCCCACTGATGTGATCATCTTCCTGTCTCATTCTCTGATTATTATGTTTCAGTATTTTTTCATAATTGTTTTCCTCTTTTTTTTGATTTTTACATACTTGATTTATAAAGTTTTTCTATTGTACAGAAACTCAGCACAGATTTTGCCTGTGCAGAAATGAAATCAACTTTTTCTTTTTTCTCTCTCCAAATTCTGCTTCTGTTTCTCTCACTTATTATAGACTTTTGCTCTCAAGCAGAAGTAGCTCTTCTAAGTTCAGTATTCCATAGCTTATCCAGTCTTTCAGATTAACTGTACAGACTGGGTCCACTCTATCATTCTCTGGAGAATATTTTGTGCACTACTGGGGTATATTCTCTAAGTGGCAAGTAGAAATGAGTTAACAGGTGGCTAAGAATTTTTTTATCAAGCAAAGAGGTCCATGTGATTTAAAGTTTTAAAGGCATTTTTTGGGTAAATGGAAAGGTGTAAGGGCATCATCTCAAATTTTTCACTGAATTCGACCTTTCAGTTGGATTATTTGGGGTGTGCAGAGATAATATTTTCAAAAGTATCCACCAAGTCCTCCTTGGCAGACACAGCTTCAAAATGCAAATTGATTTTCGAAACTGGTCAGTTGTCTCTCAAATGAATAGTATTTCAGTTCACTGTTTATTGATACTAACTGGTACACCAGTTGTTCATTGAATATGTAGAATAATTAGTGTTCAGTATTCAATCACAAGTTATGGTTTGAGAGATCTGAGTGCTATTTCCTCCCCTTAAGAGTTTATAGAATAGGTAGAAATGTACCCGAAAGAGAAAGCAAAGAAAGGCACCATCAAATTCTCAGAAGAATGTCAGCACATTATGGATTCAAAGATAAGCGATACTGGAAAAGTTGGAAGTGGGAAAGAATCCTCAAGGAAGAAGAAAAACCCAAGATAGTCCTCACGAAATAAATAGGGAAACACAAAGAAAACAGGATTTCACTCCTTGTAAATAAATGTTTGCACTTTAAGCACCCCTGACTCTCAGAATCATATTCAGTCTCTAATTTTAACCAGTCTCCAATAATGATATACTGAAGATCCATAACCCACCCATTAATGTACTACATATATGGAAAATATGTATTTTTACTTGTCTGTAACACACGTAGATGGTTGAGTAACTTTTAAGCTACCTTTTATCTTGAAAACGAAAATTACTCAGTGTCTTTTTGTCAATAACGATGTCCCTGTTACTTATCTACTCATTCTTCTGCCTGTGGATGTTTAGCAACTCCTTTGCCACTTAATAGACTTTGTGATATGACCCAAGAAAAGCAATTTATTTGAACAACTAGTATAATAATTGAATTCAAAGACGAACCTTAAACAAATGATTTGTAAAGATCATCTTCTTTCTCCCTGGTCAGCTCTATGGTGGATTGCTAATGGCAGACATGTAAAGAAAGCACTGAAATCAAATAATCATTCTCGGTTCATTTTGCTCCCATTAAATTCAATAAAATCATTGATTTAAGGCTTTACATATTGATGTCTTAGAGAAATATTTAATCATTACTGCTTTTAAATTTCTCATTTAACATTTTGTCCTTGCTGGAGTTCAGAAAGATGGTCCAATTTTGAAAATGATTAGAGACAGGTTACTCTGCCATTTAGTGTCTAGAAGGTCAGGATGAATATGATGTAAACTGCATGGGTCAAGTGTTATTTCATTCATTACATCCTTTCTTGATCATTAATCCATACCCAAAAATTTATATATATATATATATATATATATATATAATAACCACGGTCCTTTATGTTAATGAGATCTTGGAGACGTTTGTAAGCAGTAATTTTTAGATTTAGTGACAACTGTGTTTTTTTTCTGTTTTATTATTTTAAAAATGAAAGTTGTCCGATCCTATATTCTTGGATATTTTGAAATTCTAGAGACTGTCTCCATTGCAAAATGCAGAGTTCTGAAAGAAAGCAATCCACTAAATATCTCATGATTGAACATGGCCTCCTTTTTCTACTTCTTGCTACAGAGCTATCCATCACACTCCTCAGCAGACATCAATTCAAGTCTTCCTCCAATGTCCACTTTCCACCGTAGTGGTACAAACCATTACAGCACCTCTTCCTGTACGCCTCCTGCCAACGGGACAGACAATATAATGGGTGAGTCACGGAAATGCCGATTCTGATACCGACAATCACTGTCACAGTTTAATAATGAAAGACTTCTTTTTTAACCTCATAATTGAGCAGTAATCAGACCATGAATATTTGTCACATAACTGAGTGAACAAACAAATGAACCCTACAGAAATAATCATTGGCTTCACCATAATCACTTGTTGTCACCAGAAACAAATTTGGCTGTTCTGTCCATGGTGAATCATTAGATTGAATAAGGGTTTAAGTAGTCTAGAACTTTCTTGCTTCTCATACTCTCAAACAATAAAAAAATGAATTTCTATAAGACAACCCACTGCAGACTAATGAGATAGGGAATATAATAGCTTTAACTAGTAGTTATTGACCACTTCCCAAATTCGAATTTCAGTGCTAATTTGTTAACCGTGACACACCACTGTCTTCCAAGGACTAGTTCATGTGAAATTCACAGATGAAACCTAATCACTAGCTGAGCTTCACCTTCTGGAGACTGCAACATTTTGGGGTCCTTCAGAGGGGAGGAAGTATTTGCTTACTCATGGGGTGGTGGTGGGGAGAAGCCTGAGCATTATGGACCAGAAGTTATTTGCTGCTGCTTCTCAAGCAGATTTGTAACAATTTAAGGTCCACAAAGAATCCTGCTGCCAAGTAACTGAGAGGCATCCTCTTGTTTTTCATGCTCTCCATTGTGGTCCTTTCCCGAGGGGAGAGGCCTTGCCCCCAGCCCCCTCCCTCATTCTCCCTTTGAGCTAAGAGTTAGGCAGTTTGTCCTGCTGCCCCTAGAGGAAAGAGTTCTGCTTAAAGGAAGGCAGCCCGCTGCTTTGGGATCCAGCTTGAGCAGCTTTGCCATTCAGATGAGCAGCGTACCCAGTGCGCAGGGACCCCAAACTCCAATGGCCACCCCCTACTCTACTTTCCAGCTCAAGCCCACAGCTTGCTGGGCCTCAGGGTCACTTCCAGTGGGTCACTGATGAGAACATTCACTGTATATTTTAGAGAGGGGAGGTGCGCCAGAAGACTCCTGCTGCATGTTCTCCTTAGCTCTTTGCAGTTTTGTTTTGTTTTTTCCATTTTCGTAGTATATAGAACCTTGGGAAATGGTGTGAATCACTTATGTGGGAGAGTTTTTGATGAAAGAGAAGAGATCTGTTTAGAAATGTTGCAAATATAATTCTGCCTAAATAATACTCTCTCTGCTTATTTAATAATATATTTCACACTTGAGATGAGCCATCTAGTAGCCCAGTGCCATCATGTCTCACCAAGAAGCAAATTTTGGAGAGAGCTTCCATTTTTGTAACTCTTCATAACAAAGCTTCAACAACTGTGTTGCATCAGTTTGACCTTGGAGAGCTATGGGCAAAGGTCACATGGGGAAGTTTTGTTAGCTATCAATGCAGTTTTGGCAGAATTGAAAAACAAGAAGAAAGAAAGAAGTGCAGAACTGAAAGAGTGAGAAAAGCATATTTCACTTCAATGTGGTTTAACAAATGGAAAGCCCCTTTCTGCAGTCATGAGGTCTGGTTATAAAGAAGGATGGCCTGCCATTCATCCTTTAACAGGACAGATTTCCTGTCTACTTGTGGTTTGAGTAATTTTCTTTTTTTAGGAAGGTAGAAAGGTGGAGCCAAAGCTTGAGTTGAGGAAAACATGCATAGACTTAGTTTGAAAAAAAGTTTTGTTCATGGATTTGAAAAACAGTCTTCCTGGGACAGAGGCATGAGGACTTGGGAAGAGAGAGAGATTATAAGATGTTATAATTGCCATCCCTAGACTGTAGTCCATGCAGCCTGAGTCTGAGTGGACATGAAATGTGATTTATTTAAGCTGGTCATTAGCTTAGATAAACAGGAGAAGGTCTACTTGCCTTTATTTGCCCTGGATGGGGTGGAGCATAAGGTGACTTTACTTTATTAATTGTTACAGGTGGGCTTAACTGATAAGGCCCAGAGAGCACTAGTGAAGTGTAAGGAGGGGTCTAGACAGTAATAAAGGGGCTATGGTTTTAAAGAGAAAATGGATGAGATTTTTGCAACCCCAAAAAAGGACTTTTTTAAAACAACTTTTTTGTGTAAGTTATTCCATAATCATGGCTGTACTTGTCAAAATCTACTAGCAGAATATGAAAAAGCTTTATAATTATTTCAAGCAATAAGTAACCATAATAACTCAGCTTTTTGGAGGGTCAGACCTTTATCAACTTACATCAATACTGTTATAACTTTAGGACCATTCTAGCGGAAAACTTTCTATAATGCCGTCCCTTAAAAGAGTATGTCCTCCAGTTCCTTATATTACAATGCAGAGGAAAGTTCAAGTGTGATAATGAGACTTAGCATTGTGTGATGGCCAAGTGGCTTACATTTCTTTGCACTTTAATTCTCTCAGACTTTGGTTTGACTTTCAGAGTGAGGTAGAAGTCAGGGATGGCAGCATGTCTATATAACAAGAAGAGAAGATTTCTCTTCTGATGTTAGTGATACTTCCCTAACAAACAGTATGGATTAATAGGAGACATCTGTAGACTTTGAAAATATTTGGCATAAACTCACTCATTCTGAAATGCAGGAAATAAAGAAATATTACATTGCCTGTATCTCAAAGAACAAACAGAGCTAATTAAATAATTGGTAAATAGGGAACACATAGCCTGACACATGTTTGAGATTACACACATGATTCTGTAGAAAACGACTGTAAGCAATACTAATGCTGTAAGAATGGGCTCAAGCACTAACACATGGACATCACATTTTTCATTTCTTAAGTTTTCTTGGTGAAAAGTTGCAAGGCAGTACAGTCTTTTCATAAATGGTGTTGATATCTTAGGAAGCTGCTTTTTCACTTCAGAAGAAAATTTTTGCCTCATCTCTCAGTTTCACATCATAGCATGTCTTCCTGGGAGTTAGTGATTGTGCTGAACTGATCATAGAACAACAGCATGTGGAGTGAGACGTAAGCTCTAGAACCATCAAAAGGTAACCTCCCTGGAGCCCCCTTCCTTCTGGATCTCTGCTCCACTTCTCAAAGGTGAGAGGTGCTCAAGGAGGCCTGGGGTAGCTCATGTTTGATTTGGAGGAGTGGCCATATTTTCTTGTTGCATTTTCTTTGGCTCATTAGTGCCCGATAGTATTTTTTGAGAAACCCCTAGTAAAAATAAAACTTACTTAGGTTCTTTTTTAATGACTGGATTTTTTAAAATTACACACTCATGCATGGGATTTTGAGAGTGTAAAAGGTTTTACTTGTGGCATATAGTCCATTACTGTTTTCCAAAACCTTGCCAGAGAACTGAAGATTACATAAGGTAGTTCTGAACTAGAAGGTTTATAAAACACTGTGGAGTTATTTATATATTATATGTAATATACAATCATATAATATATAATTGCATATATATGTATGTAAATAAAATGCATGGGACCCAGGATTCATATTAGTTCAACTAATGTGGTGCACCGTTAATGAAAGCAGTTAAATTCAGGACCTATGGGAATATTAGCATCAGGTCCCTTCAACTTTATTCCTAAAACCTCTGGTGCTATGTTGCTGGGTGTATCTCAGAAGTCCATGTGAGCTTGCACACAGAGGAGGAAGTATACTAGTTACTAGTACTGCAGAAGACAAAGGGTCTAGAGGACAGTAGCCATGCACAGTTTGCTATCTGCATATTTCCCTCCAACCTGCAATACCCAATAGCCTTTTCTCATCAATAGCCTTTTCTAATCTAAGGGCTGAGGACCACCTACCATATCCCCGTCTCCCGAGACTGCTCAAGGAGAGTGCCCACTTCTCCATTGGGAGATACCATTTGTATAAATTCCCAGGGTGAACTCCTTGTGGTTTGGAGCTCCAACACCCTCCCTTCCTCTCAGAGTCTGGGAATCTAACAACACTCAATGAGCATAATGGTTATAGTAACTAGTATTGTTTTATTGGTCTTAAACCGGCTTGCTTTCTAATGCATGGTATTTCCCATGTTTTTAAACCTCAAACCAAGCAGCGTTGAAGGACTAGACTACCCAGATTGATTTAATACAACATATGCTAAAGATTACCCTGGAATATCTATCTGGTTCATGAATTAATCTGGCTTACAACTTTCACTTCTAATGACATGTTTGTATGACATGATGCATTTTAGTATGTGGCTTTTCTAGTAGAAACATTATGTCCATTTCCCCTTGAGGACTTGGTTTCACAGTAATTTTATTATTAGAGTAGTCACATAATATTCACTTTGTCTTCTGCAGGAATCATGAGCTTTCAAATACAGTTGGGAGATGAACAAGCACTGAGCATAACAGTAACATGAATTTCATCCAGCAATGTCATGGCATCTTAGTTACAAAGACCACCAGTAGAGAATGACACACTAGCTTGATTTAAGTCTTTGTCCATTTCCTGCACATGGTCATGGGGACCACCTCTCCCCCTGAGTTCCTAGGAATCCCTCCTGTTAAAAATTAGTGCATGGTAGCAAAGAATTGAGTTTTTATTCTAAAACTGTACATAGTCACAGTGCTAGAAATGCTTTCTTTTTTCCTCTTTATAGACAAGTCTGTGGCATGGTTATGCTGCTTCTCATAGTTTGATAAACATGAGGGGTCACTTGGATGCAGTTCAGGAGAACCTAAATTTTAAAGCAGTCATCTTCTTTCAGGAAAACACACTATGAATTGCTCCTTTCATATCTGCACGATGTCCCCAGTCTGAGGTCATGGGTATGCAATAAAGGGGTAATACAATTACCGAATTCTGATCTTTCAGTAGTGGGTCCCTAGGCTCCACCCCTCCGGGTGTTTTGATTAGGGAGTGTTCTATTGGGAATTGCTATTTCCCCAAAGCTGAGATTCAGAGCGAGGGTGGTCTGTTCACCATGTGGTGGAGATACTAGCCCTTCTCTCTGCCCCACCTAGCCAGCAGCCAGCAGCGGCGCCTGTGTCCAAGCCCTCTGAACAAGGCTTGTGAGGCTGGCAGAGTCAAATCCTCCTACAAAATTACAGTTCCTCTTAATAACTACTCATCTTTCATTAATATTGATATTACAGCACTTGCTGGAGACTGTTTTTTTTTTTTTTTTTCCTCTTGAACTAGAGAAATTGATGAGGACCAAAATACCTTAAGCAATCAATCCAGCCTTGATCACGTAGGGGCAAGCATTTCCATCTTTTATTTCTGTTTGTGTACATTTTGGTAATTTTTAATATGAGCTGACAAAAATTTGAGCCTGGATTAGTAGTAAAGGTCTGTTACATCAAAGTCAAAAGGGGATTGGTTGAGCACTAAGTGTGTTTTTGCTTATTTGACCCCTTTCTCTATATAAAAGAAGTTATGCCATTGGAGAATTAAAAATAGGCTTTCTGATTATTTATGTCTTTTGACTTATCACTCATAGAAATAAAAAAAGAAATCTTTTTTAAAAAGAAGTATCCACGTAGCTTAAAATGTTTAGGGGCTCTTGAAAATGTGTCTTCTCCAAGGTTTCCTGGAACAGAACAAAAGGCATTCCAAGTGAAAGGGCAAACAGGCCCCAATAAACTGCTTTGAAATTTAAGCCCTTGGGTTTGGTTCTCCAGCTGCTGCAAGGTAGAGTGGCTTCATGTTAAAAAATAGTCTGTTCTTATCAGTGGTTTCCATGAGCAGCCTTTGTAGTTTTCTGAAACATTTTCATGACAACATGGGATAAGGAGCTGATTCTATTTTTTATTCTACTTCCTGAGTTTTAATATCCCCTTCTATAAATAGACCCTAACAGAAAGTTTAGTTAGAAAGGTGTATGTAGTATAAAAATAATCATGATCATGTCTTATGTCTTCTAAAGTGTTGATTATGTGCTAAATTAATTTACTTTGTAAACAAGTCCTAAAATATTTTTATTGATTTTCAATTGTTTCTGTTGGATTTCATAGAAATATATATATATATTTTTAAAATGTATCACCCTCCTTTTAAAGGTGCTCAAAGGAAGAAGTTACCTTTCGAGTTTTCATTTCATGAAGATCTGTTTTTGTAACCAAGAAAATATCAAAAATCATTTTGACTGATAAATCTTATTTTAGGTATATGTGATAATGTTACTTCTAGGGAAAACAAATGTATATAGTTGTCCCAAACACCATGGTATATATTATATACTGAGAAAATGTCAGTAATCTCTGTTTTCAAAGTCTTTGTTTTCTCTTTAGAATTGTCTTATCGTCTTTATAGAATTGCAGAAATTTTCATTTTCATATCAGATACAATTTCAGATACCCCTTATCTTATACCAAGTATTTTTAATAATATGGGTGAGTTCCTCCCACTCACTGAATTGTATATCATCAGATCCTCATTTCAAAAAATTTGCGTAGACATATAATCTTTTATAACTAATGCTTTTTAGTATTATGAATTTGTAACGTGAAGAATAAGGCTGGTTGGTTTTTTTTTTTATTTTTTGTTTTTTTCTTTTTTTGCCAGAAAGGTTATTGTGGTTTTTTTCTTTTACTCACATACCATTATCTTTCAGTTTCATAATTAACAAATGAATAAGCGGTTGGGTTTTGTTGACCAAATAATAAATCACACATCAAAAGATTATCTTACTGACTTACCCAGTGTGTAAATATAGAAAAATAGCAAGCATGATTTAAGTATGCTAAGCAGAGATCAGGTGAATGAAATTATATCCTTGAGAAGCAGAGAATTTGACCCCTTGAGATACGACCCCTCTGCTCCATTTTACAGATCCGGAAGCAAAGATGATACGGTTGCCTGTGCGGTGAAGGACAGGGCAGGGAACTTTTTAAAAATTATATGAGTGTGCTGTGATGTTTGGCTCGGATTAATCAGTTAATTTAAGATTTCCTTTTCTTAGTTCACAAAACAGTGAAAAACATCTTCTGGAATTTAACAGGTTTTCTTTAAACACGATGTCCACTTGCTAATGTTGAAGTCTTAATAGACTAACATTCCAGGTATTCTAGGTGTTGTATTAATACTCAGTGTTATATTAATACAACTATTAATACTGAGAATCTCAAAACGCTGACTGTATTATCTTAAAAGGTAAATTGCCCTTAAAAATATTTGTTAGGGCCTCCCCTGCTGGCGCAGCAGTTGAGCGCTGGGTTGCGAGGCTGCCCACAGCCTCTGTAGCGCCAGTTCGATCCCCGGCCACCAGCGAGGGTCCCACCAAAAAAAAAAAAAGGTGTTAAATTGAGTTGGCTTTGAATTATAGACTAGAATCTGCGTCTTTACTAAAACAGTGCTCTTTGTCTATTTTGTAGATAAAATTATCAATATTTAAGATAATAGAGATAGCATCATGAATATGTAGACTTAGTTTATCTCTGGAATCTGAGGCTTTTGGTAACATAACAATTCAAAAAATTTTAGAATATGAACACAGACTTAAATATATGGAGAATAGATGCTATTTAAAATAATATTTTTTTTTTTTTCTCTCCAAGGAAGACAGAACTGTTTCAGATTTCTTATTTTGTTCTGTTTATTATGGGACTCTTGAGAGAATCATTGTATTTTGCTATGTTAACTTTTTTTTTTTAATTTGAAAGCAGGTGTAAATTATTTGTGAAGATAATTCAATTATCTACATTAAATATAAAGAAAAATAAAACTTGTGAACTTCAGAGACCCGTACATACTGCACACTTAGCCGTGAGCTTCATGTACTCACTTGCTGGTACCTACTACTGGCTTCTCATAAGCAACAAGGAGGAAAGTTATAGCAACAAAAGCACTATATCTTTAAACCAAGGTGTCAGGTTTATATTTTATCTGTAAAAAATGTAACATGAATATATTTGACATCTACCTCAGCAAACAAATTAATGCTAATTAAAGATTAATGTGTTGTAATTAGCATTAAAAATGCAATTAAATTGTGAGTAAATGGACCAGGAATAGAAAATTGTTAGACGTCTCACTGCCTGGTTTTTCATATTCTGCCTTTTGTTTTTGCAGCAAATAGAGGAAGCGGGGCAGCAGGCAGCTCCCAGACTGGAGATGCTCTGGGGAAAGCACTTGCTTCGGTGAGGAAATATTGACTTTGGACTTCTCGTGTGCCATTGTAGAGGGGTGAACTTTAATCAGAAGTGGACGTTTGGAATTTTAGAAAATGAATGGCAAATAGCTTTGATTTTTGGAAATGCTAGCTCTCTTGCATAATGATCACTGGAAAATAAGGAGAGAGCTCCGAAGCTTCCAGTGTGTGGCTGGCATCTTCCATCTTGTCCCTTCACAGAGGTGCTAAGGAGTGCACAGTTAGGGATTTGTGAATATTCTTCAGAACCTGTAGGTGATAGTTTGCTTCTTTCCTAAAGTAACATGGAGGCTCACTGACCAGCTAAGACTGACTCTGTAGGGAGCAGTTCTAAAGCACTTTGGAGAAGGTGTTTGAAAGAAAAGATGACAATCACTAAGGCCCACGTGAAGTCCTCACTTAAGTGGCACTTGGGGACTCAGCTTCTCTGCTCTGCCCAGAAGCTAGAACGGAACACATCGTCCCAGTCACTCAGCTTATTTGTCTGAGGGAAGAATATCTGATATTTTCTTCAGAAACTAAGCATTTCACTTGCAAATATCAGTGGAGATGTATTGCTCTAACATTATGTCTCTTTGGTTGGTTTTCCTTACTATTGTGAGTAGAAAATAAGTTTATGTTAGTACTATGACCTAAGTAAAAGATTCCATTTAATCCATGCATTCTTATGCCTTGGAATCAAATTCCTTAATCTTAGTAAAGAAGGAATTGCACAAAAATTGGAGAGATGGTACTATTTGGACTCTTACTGCAGATGAGGACAGGGAGGTTTGGAGTATCTTACCCTTGGCCACACAGCCGTGGAAGGGAAAGGATTAGAGTTAAGTCAGCTGGCCCCCATCCTGTTCCTTTCTTACTCCTTAGATGACTTCCGTGATTCTTCTTTTGAAGAATTAAAATAATTGTTATACAATACAAAACACAACACAACAAAACAAAAACAAATAGACAACTTTAAACCGGAGACATCCTGCAGGGGAGGGGAAGAAAGGTGTTAGAAGGAGGGAGTGAGGCGCACAGGGGACTGTTGGTGATGGTGCGCTGGTGCATTGGTGGTCAAAATTCTAAGGGGACTACACCTGAGAAGAGAAAGCAAACATTGTTTAAAAATGAATAATGGTGTGAAATATATATAAATAAAAAAGGAACAAGAATAAAAAAAAATAAAGTAATTGTCATATCTTTGACTTTAGAATATTGGTACTATAGTTTGTTAAATGTGCTTTGTAACTTGTAGTTTTTAATGAATTGCTTTCACACTTTGTTGATTGTGTATTCCTAATGAATGAGGGTTTGTTTTTTTTTTTTTCTCTCCCCACTGTTTCAAGATCTATTCTCCAGATCACACTAACAACAGCTTTTCATCAAACCCTTCGACTCCCGTTGGCTCGCCTCCTTCTCTCTCAGGTACTGCACTTTCCATCTTATTTCGTGGTAGCAGTTTATAAAAATGACTCCCCCCCTCCCCATATACTTCTGCTCTAGTTGCTAGAAAATCACTCCCTTGACAATCTCAAAACAAAAACCTACACAGACAAATAGACAGAAGTGGGAGAGACAGATTGACATGAGAAGATAGTTATTTACATGCAAAACTTCTCTTAAAAATTACATGTTTTTAGACAGTATAGGCATAGTGAAACTTATTTCTTTAGCTTTTCTTAGCTCCATAGACGATAGTTAGCAATTCTATATATTACAGTAAACTATCAATGAAAACTCCATTTAACAAAGTGATGACTATAAATATAGAAGAGATAGGCATCAAATATAGACTATTTCAGAAGGGTCATTTCCTACCAAAACTTTATAATTTCTAAATCCCCCCTTAAAATCTATACCATTAGAATGTTTGAGGAAAGTTACAATTTTGTAAATAAATTGTGATGTAATTGTGGATTTAAAGAGGCTATTTGCTTTTAAAAATATATAACAAATGGACTTGACCCATGGCTTCAAAAAGTTCAAGTTGTTGAATTATGTTAGTAAAACACTTCGCTTGTCAGAGGTCCATTTAAGAAGCTTGTTGTCCTTCACTCAGTCTACATGCTTCCAGAAGGTTCTGCCTGGTACATGTCTCTGCATGTTGGACAGATAATAGGTCACTTCTAAAAGAAAATTAAGTGACATTCTGTACCTGATGATGAAACTTGACCTACCGTAACTTATAATGGAATCCCTTGCTTAAATGTTGCCTCTTCTAACGCCCTGTATGCAGCACCGACATGCCCCATTATAAACCAGCTTCCCTAGTAGAGAACTGAAGAGCTCAGTGTCTCCCACAGAACTTTCTGGGGTGATGCCCATGAGATTTAATATCTAATATCTAGCCTTTTCCAAGTGTCCATCAACATGGAGTTGGGTGAGGCGGGGCACAGAACGGAGTTAGAAATAGCTGGGTCTTGAAGTTCATATGTCCAGCAGGACAAAGTCAAAATTGGGAAGGAATAGAGGTGCTAGTAAGAGCATAATGGAATAGCAATGAGCGTCCATGAAGAGATGGAAAGTAAAGTTTTGAATTATTACACATGTCTGGTTCACTACCTTATTGTTAGACTCTGGGAAGTGATCACAGTGTCCATGTTCAGAGCAGAGAAGAATTGAGGAGACATCTAGCCCAGGGACACAAGTGATAAGGGAATCTGAGTAGGGAGAATGCCAAGATATCCATTTCAAACAAAGCAGCTCTAATTTCATCTCATTTATAATTTGGAGGAAAAAAATACGTGGTTTAACAAAGTTGGAGAACAAGTCTTTCAGTCTTAGGCTGTGATTATACAGATCAGCGTACAAAGGCCCAGGAAGGCGACATGACTGTTGAGTTTATACCAGTAGCAGTGCCAGAGCTCACATGAGAATGGGCGCCCACTTTCTGCCTCTCCACTGCTAGGTTAATGATGGGAGGAGAAAGTTGGGATGAAAAAATCATTCCAGAAAATGCCACAAATACCCTAAATATGAGCAGCATCTTCTAGATAAAAGCTAGAAACAAGGGCACTTTGGGGTCCTGGTAATGCATCAAGGAAGACCACATGTCAGGAAAAAGTAACTGCATGAAGAGGTAAATATGAGGACAGATTGCTGTGTTCACACTGATGGCTCTGTCTAGCTTCTGTCACAAAAAAGTAACTGAACTAAATACCCTACTACCATTTAGTATAAAAAGACACACACCTGTATATCCAGGTCAACAGGAAGAATCGATTTTTAAAATGCTAACAGTGTCAGGACCAGTAAGATTCTTATACATATTAATTTTTTTCCTGTCTTAAATTGTTTATTTTCTGTTTTGTACAGGGTGTGTATTATTTTCAGTGTGCAAGTTGTTTTTATTTTGTAGGTTAAACATGCGATATTTATTATTGTGGGAATCTTTCATTACCTTTAAGTTTAGTGGATCATACAAAAGTTCCTTCCTTCAGAAGAAACTACTTACTTATTACTTTTGTGACACTGAGTTTTTAACATTCTGATTTAGTGGATCACTGCTAACTAATCTTATTCCCATATAAAAGCTTCTGAAACCTAATCCCTTCTTAAGGATCATTTTTAAAGCAAGTAGCAGAGCTGGTTTTTATTGGTGAGAGAACTCTGATTTAACAAACTGGCCTGCCTTGAAGTTCTAACAAAAGCCTTCCTCTGCACTCTTAAATGTAGCTTCTCTATATAGTGATAATTTCCTTCAACTAAGCTTCTCTATCTGGAATTCAGAATCCACCAAACGTTCCCTTTTCGGAGGAAGCCTGAGAGAATCTGAGTCTTCGTAGAGTTCACATATTTCACATTTAAAATGTTTTCCCTGCCCCAAAATTCTTATGGGGAAATTTACATGGATATACCTTATTGTTTAAATGAAAATCAGCATTGCTACTTAAAAAAGAATTGCTTAAAATGCTAGTGAGATTATTTTTAAGATTATATAGATCTCATTTTAATCCTCATGTTTAATATCAGCAGGCACAGCTGTTTGGTCTAGGAATGGAGGACAGGCCTCGTCATCCCCTAACTATGAAGGACCTTTACACTCCTTGGTAAGTCTCGTTGGCTAATCTCTCACCATTTTTCAGACCCTACTCTTTTGTGTCTGCTTCATTGTCTAAGGTTCTTACTTTGAGTAATAGGAACATTTCCACTGGCATTAAGCGCAGTTTGATTAGAGCTATAGTTATTAGACTGCTTGTTCCTGTGTGTAGATTGTAATCCAGATACTACCACAGTGTTGACCCCAGGGTTCTAAATATCCAGAGCCAGATAAGATATTAGAAATCCTAAGAGGATAATGACCTTCTCCCCATCTTTTGGGAAAACCCTTATCAATGATAAAATCACTTTCCTGATAAAGAGTTGGAGTTTCAGCCAAGCTTCATAGTTGGAACATTTGAAGGGTCTTTAGACCTTTGCATTGTTTTCCAGAATAACAGGTTTATGGGCGTTTTCCTCTTGACCTCAGAATAAGAAGCCCATTTCTTCAGTCACTTTGGTTCCCATAGAAATCTAGTAGTATCACTAAATGTCTATTCTTACAGTAAAGAATACATGAACATTTCTATGGGTGTAATTAACATTATAAATATTCACATGGTGAGTCAGTGTCTAACACGCTGGTCTTTTCCACTTGTGGTTGATGGGGCTGGAAACATGAAGGACGTGAACAGTGCTGCTCTATGCGATAGTTGGTTAGTACAGGAATCAAGTGAAGAGGGAGCAACAGGGAGCTCACACTCCTTCAGAATTGAGTGCCCCTTCTTTCCTCTATGTTTTGAGATGGAAAATGGAAGAAAGCATAGATTTATCTTAATAAATTAATGCTTTGCTGTCAGTGGTTTAAGGTTTCCTGTCTTTCTTTTGGTTTACTATTTAAATTAAGGAAAATCTAAAATCGAATATACAAAGTTGTGTTTCCCCCTACATTCTGCTCTTCTTTGCTGTACATTTTAGCCAATAAAGCTAACGTACCACCTACCTGGCACAATTAAGCTGACATCAAATAACCCATAGTTGTTTTAAATGTTTACCTAAGTTGTTCTCTGGAACCCAGTATCAAAACGGGGTTTTGTCTAACTCTAGAACTTGAAAGACTAGTTTCGTTGTTGTGGACTACAATTTCAGTTCTCTTTGAATTCTTAACCCCAAGAGAGGATTCTCAATGGCTTGCTCTACCAGGAAGCAGTGATTCAGAAAGGGTGACGGGCATGTATATTATTTCTTTTTGTGTTTACATTTGCACTTGATGTAAGAGCCTATATCATCATTCCCTTTTGGATAAATTAAACTCAAAGATGTTTAGTAACTTTTTCACCATCACATAAGTAGCAGCACTAGAACTAACAGCAAAGCCTACCAAATCAGAATGCTCTGTACCAGAGACTAACTATATTAGACACACATTCTTTCTGTCAGTGTAGAATAATTAGGAATTGTTTTTCTCATAGTGTAGAGCTGGTACATCTGTTTGCACAAGCCATTGGAAATCAAAGTGGATTGTAGCACGATAGAGTACAAAGAGGTCCTAGATTTGAAGTCAAAAGATTCCAACACTGACTTTACCATTTCCTGGCAGTGTGGCACTGAGGATTAATTTACTTAATTTCTTTGAGCCTTATTTGCAAATCCATGTGAAAGGGATAATAATGTCTTCCTGCTTGCCTTACACATGTAGAATGAGGATCTAGTGGTATATTTTAAAATGCATGTTGCTCTGCAACATGCAGCTTTGATCATTATGGCTCACACTGAAAAAAAAAGAATACACATGTACATATCATTTGTCCTCACCCAAAATTATAGTGTTTGCTTTATCTAGTTGCAGAAAACTAAGATCCTAATGCTAGGATAAAAAGAAAGGTCTGTTGATTTTTAATTGTGTAAGTATGTGAATTCTAACCATAGTGGGGTCTTTGAAATCAATTAAAAGCCCCCACTAAACAATTAATCCAAATCTTTGTGATTTTTCAGTTTTGAAATCTTACACCACTATGGTTGACAGAACTTTTCTTTGTATTAGCCCTACTCCTCCCTACACACACACACACACACACAAACACACACACGGGTGATACTAGATAGATAAGAAGAAACACAGGTAAAAGATTGACATTACTCCAGAATTACAATATGTGCAACTATTTGTCCCAGATTTGATATTTTGCACTGTATTATATGACACAGACAAGACCAGAGAAGTGTGAGTCTTCAAGAAGATAATTTAATTGATCATCTTCCTATTGTTAATTTTTTGAAATCTTTAACCCAAAGCCTGCCAAAATTTCTTAAATTCAGTGAATAATTTTCTAATGTAAATAGAAATTTTCTTTAAGCTAATGCAATATATCATAGCATATGTACATTATGATGCCCTAGAAGGATTACTAAATTTATTTTGTTCATAAAAAAAGAACTCTATAATTAAAGCATTAGCATTCTTCACCAGTTTCCTAGGAAGGACACTATTTTTATTATAGTTTTAAGGAAATAAACTTTATTGGAAGCATATATATATATCCAGAAAGCCAGTGTGAAATTTATATCAACTCAAGTTTTACTATATAATCGCTGCCCATATTTCAAACTAAATCAAATTTCACATCATTTATTAACCCACAGCAAAGCCGAATTGAAGATCGTTTAGAAAGACTGGATGATGCTATTCATGTTCTCCGGAATCATGCAGTGGGCCCTTCCACGGCTATGCCTGGTGGCCATGGGGACATGCATGGAATCATTGGACCTTCTCATAATGGAGCGATGGGTGGTCTGGGCTCAGGGTATGGAACCGGTCTTCTTTCTGCCAACAGACACTCGCTCATGGTAAGTGATGAAATTTGCAGGCTACTTTATCATAGAGAATTAGGATTTCAAGTATAAATAGTACTGCTGATACCGGTTTTCTTTTTTAGACAGCTTTATTGAGATATAACTCAGTTAACATGTAATTCAGCCATTTAAAGTGTGCAATTCAATGTGTTTTATTCACATTGCATTTTCAAAGGGTTGTGCAACCATCAGCACAGCAAAGAAGAAAATAAATCCCATACACATGAAGAGTCACTCTCCATTCCTCTCTCCCCCAGCTCCTGGCAACCATTAATCTACTTTTTATCTCTGTAGATTTGCCTATTCTGGAGAATTCTTGTAAATGGAATCATATCCCATGGGGTGGTCTTTTCTCACTGGCTTACTTTCACTTAGCATGTTTTTCAGGTTTTTACATGTTCTATCACATATCAGAAGGCCATTCGTTCTTGTTGCCAGATAATATTCCATTTTATGGATGTACATTGTATATATCCTTTCACCAGGTGGTGACTATTTGGTTTTTTTCCGTTCTCTGCCTGTTTTGAATAATGCTTCTGTGAACACTCATGGACAAGTCTTTGTGTGGACACAGTTTCATTTTCACTTAAGTATATCTCCCTGGAAGTGAATTTCAGGGTTGTCGCGGGTGTTTTAGACTCTTCATCTTGGTATCGTTGGCTCAACTTATGCTCATGTTACATTGCTGGCATTTCAGATATGAATAGGGTGAAATATCTTTTTGTTAAAGAAGCCAAGAGTGTCTTTTGAAACGGAGTATAGGAGGAATAACTAGATGGTATGTTTCCCCATCTAAATATCTGGTGTGAGACTGTTACTTTAGTATCCAAATTACGTAGTTTTACTACAACCTGGTTTTTATTTGAATATTTAAGAATTATCCATGTAACAAGTGGATTTTTTTTTTTTGGTCATTACTTTTGAAAAGGACTTAGAGTGCATCTTTTTTAGGGTGGGGGATGGGATGATTATAAAGATTCAGCGATTCAGAGACTTCCCAACAAAATACTAAGTGATGGCAATAAGGTGACCAAATTGGAGGAAGATTTAAGTTTTCTAGTAATTTTGTGTAAATCTGCTCTTTTCAAATGCCTACCTGGTCAGCCAACACCTTACTGGCCTGTTTGCTCTTAAAAAGTCACTTGGTTGAAGGTCTATTTCCATTGCCACTATTATGTCTCTTGCAGATGATTCCAAAAAGAGAATGTAAAGTAAGTACAAGTCATTCTGAGGCTCTGTACATTCTTGCTCAATAGTATTTTCTTGCCCTTCTTTGAAATTCTTTTAATAAAAGACCAAGATTAAGAGTACCAACCTGAATGGTATATTATTGAAACCTGCAACCAATTTGAAACCAAAAATACTGGTTTATAAATAGAAGCAGTGAACTCACTTCTAAAATGTGGAAAGATATTTTTGAATGCCAAAGCTAGATCTTTTTTTTTTTTCCTTTGACCTCTACCCTAAAAATTCATCATTGAGTGAAAATTGTTTGTCTATTCATGGCAGTTGTTAAGAGTTTACAAAAGGAAAATCTAGATTTTAATTTAGCTTGGCCTCAGGTAATGTGTTAAATACACTTGGGATGCATATAATATGAGATTTTAGTTTGTACAGCTCTTTTTTTTTAAACTACAATGTTTAAACAACACTGCTTTTAATTAAGAAATCTGGCTTTATTAAAAGCCAGATCTGTGACTTATAACCATTTCTGTATATCTGCTCTCAATCAAGAGAAAAATAGTTTAATTTCTGTAGCTGTGTTCATTTTGCATATGTTAAACGGATGCAACATGCACCCAGGGCATTGCTTCAGAGACAGTTTTTTTTTTTTTCCATAAATATGTAAAGTTTGCTCTTAAATACCAGATGTAGGTTAAGTGGTTCTTTAAAAATAATAAACTATACATAGATGTTTGGGGGAACTGTTTGACCTTTGAGTTGCCTCCTTTTGGGTCTGATTCAGAGGGGGGGATCAGAAGAAGAGACTAGAGTCATCTTTGGCCATGGGAAGTTGGACTGACCCAGATGGAGGGGAATGAGAAAGGAACAGACGATAACAAAAGGGAAATAACTGGCTGGTCTTAGAAACATTTTTATTTGATTTTGAAAAACTAAGCAGAATCAATAAAACTGCTAGTTTTGTTGATGAGGAAAAGATCCTGCTCGCTCCTCTGAAGACATTCCTAATTCAATCAAGGACAACCACAGAGCCAGCCAGATAATAGAGCAACTCCAGAGATGTGGCTTGTCGACAGCCTACTGCCCTTTCCAGCAAATGAGGTTTTGCAGTCTCTTCATTTCTTCTTAAAAATATTCACCAGGTCCAGAGAATTGGAACTGCTCACCCTCTATCTAAGGTGTGTGGAAGAGATCAGATTGTCATTTCTTTCCTTCTGCAAACTGGTATAAATTTTCAAACAAAAACATAAGAACAAAGGAAATAGTTTTTGAATTTAGTCAGTCTGAAGTTAGCCTTTGACCATTTGATACATTCCACAATAAAAAGGAAGTTGAAGGGGAAGAAAAAAAATCCAACCCCCCCCCCACCGAACCAAAAAAAAAAAAAAAATTCAAGGAGGATACTGGTAATGCTGGTAATGTTTTCCACATTTGAATTTTAATACATGAAACAGGCTATAAAACTTGGGCCAGCTGCAGTAAATAAAGTAGCAGTGGGAGGTATACACCGGAAACTTCGGCAGAGAGAGCCTGGGTGGGAGTTTCTTTCCCAACGACACACCTTCATTTCTTGCTCTGGAGTAGAATTGAGTTGTTGGAACTGAAGACCTATCCGAGGCCTGTTTTTTTCTTGAGCAAATCACCTTTATAACTCTCCTTAATAACTCCATCTGATGAAAGAATAGACACCTTTGAATCGTCTCGACCTCAGTACCCTTCTTGTTTCCTCTCCCGCCTCCTGAAAATCAAAACAAAATGGCTTGATAACTTGGAAGATGATAGAAGCATTTCTTTCTGCAGCAGCTTGAAATCATGGTGGGGAAAACCATGGTTCTGCCTCGGCTGTTATGTTATCTCATTTAATTGCTAACATATTGTACTTAGCTTTTGATTCATAAAATGTTTTCCTTGGAGTTCTGAAGTAGGTCTTTAGTGATTTACTAAGTATTAGTATAATGAAAGGAATTTTTTTTCACAGCAGCATGGTTCATAGCACCAGAGTGAATGTTGTATATTTGTGGGCTTTCTAGATGACATTATTTGGCCATGTTGTTGCCTGCTCAGAAACCTTCACCAGCTCTCCATTATATACAAGATAAAGACCAATTTCTGAGCTCAAGCCATTACATTTACCTAAAGCCTAGTGTTTAGTTCTTCCGGTATACAAAATCTATCCCAGTAAGACCAGTCTGTGCATATTACCAGAAACAAGCTCTCATTAGGTACTTCTTTTGTATCTATCAGGTTCACCCTGCCCTGCCTACCCATTCTCTTATTCTCAAATGTCTGGTTTAAATCCTGCCCGTTCCAGCAAGCTGTCCTTTGCTACTTCCATCTGTGATACTCATTTTCTTTTCTACTCTCATCGCACTATGAATCATACCATTGACTAGATATTTATCATACCCCACTACACAGTTATTTATCTTTTATAGGTACGATTTTTGCCTTACCAACTATATTGTAAATTCCTTGAGTACCATGTATTACATTTTGTTTCCCTCCCAATAGATAAATCATCAGTCAAAAGGAAAGAAAGGAAACTAATATTTTCTGAGTTGACAAGTTGCTAGCCCCTGTGCTGGGTGCTCAATGCATTATCCCGGTCAGACTTCGTAACAGCCCAGGGAGGATGATAATTGTGACTCCCTCAGGTGTTGGTCAGATGATCCTCAGAAGGTTTGAGTAGTTAGTCTCGAATCACAAAGCTAGATTTAAACTTAGACCTATTGACTCCGATTCCATGCCCTTTTTTTTTTTTACTACTATGAATGCTATCCAGAGATTATCTATAAGTGCACCTTTTAAAAACTAATTTTAGATGCTAAGAGCTTGTGATTTTCAAATCTTGATAAATGTTGGTTGATGAAAGAAGTTTCCAGGCATCACATGGCCACGTTCCCAGAGGAGCTCTCTACCCAAATGTGGAGGTAAAGGATTTTCCTCCAGTGTGGCGGCATGGTAGATTAAAACCCACGTTCTCGAAATACTTATTCTTAAATTAACATGTGCTAATCGGCAAGAGGGATCAGTTCTCCTTGCTAGAGTCCTTGAAGTAATAAATTTTAAATAAGTAAATATATTTCGTGCCTTAACTACTCAGTTCCTAACATAATCAAAGAAGAAATCTTTGAATGTGAGAGAGTAAGGACAGAACTGAGCTTGTCACCAACCCAGCTAGAAATTCTTACTCACATAGATCCCTCTGTGCCTCAGATACCGCCAGGTTTAATCCTCAATATTCAATCATGAGATTTTTTTTTTATAAATTATTGAGATGGCAATTTTCCAAATATAATTCTGTGATTCATTTACTATTCAGATCCACAGATGAGACCTAAAAGAAAGCCTTTCAGATGACCTAATCTCTTTTGATTGAATAAGAACAAAACTCACAGCAAAAATGTCTTCATGTGACTCTGTGTGTGTTCCTGATTACTGGTCAGTAGAGTCAGCAATGATAGGATCATTTAGCTAAAAATCTCCTTTACTGTTAATTTATAAGATTAGTGTGGTTCCCAGGTCCTTTTTTGCCTAAAGTCCCTTTATTCATTTCAAACACTTTTATCACGTGGTTATCAAATGTCGTGCTCAGTGCTAAGACATGGCTTATGTTCTCAAAGACTTCACAGTGTGGTAGCAAAGGACACATTTAAAAAACAAATTGCTATAGCATTACAGAAGGACCCATAAGGAGCAGGAACCCAGCCCTGTTATTTGGAAGGGAAGGATCACCTTATCACCTGAGAGAGGAATAGTCATCTCCTGAGGTTCTAGTTGCTCTAATTGACTTAAACGTGGGGTAGCACCCC